CGGTGCAAGCTGACCAACGAGGGAGGAGAGGAACAGATTCCTATTTCATCGGGCTCCGACGATCACTAGAAGAGGGGCACGAGGTGCGGGGAAAACTGTATAGTATGAATAATGGTCAATGATGACTTTCCGGCACCAATTCCCCCAATGTTCCATTTCGGCACCGCTGATTGCTAGCGAGGATTCCAGACGCCTCTCCCAGAGTAACATGGCCTATGATATTTTTTTCGAGACTCCTGTTCCCAGAGCCTTGGCAGTATGGATATTGTATCCGTCATCACAAGGTCGAGCATCTTTCCTTCCCTGCCTGTGCTTCGGTTAAACACATCAGGATCAACGAGGTGAAAACTATACGATTTTCGGCTATGTAGAGAGCCGTATACCCGTACGGAATCCCGCCTTTTGGAAAGAGCGCTTCTGGGAGAGATCTTGATTGGGGCGGGAGCCTAAGTGAACAAGCCCCACAGGATATGCCCAACATGACAGATTTGACCATCATAACGTCTTCCGGGGTTGTATTACTTAGCGGCGCCCTGTCGGATTCTCTTGCCGCAGAAGCCACACCGTCCAGCGAGTTGGCGGCCGAATCAACGCACTCGCTGAACCCCCTGCATTATGCTCGACATACTCCATTTCAGCGACCGTGAGTATCGGGATGCTTCCTGATGCCAGGACATCTGGTCTATCGTACCATCTTCGCGGGGGAGGTGGGTGACCTGTTGAGCCGCGGCCTGATATCAGAAGCCCCGGGCCGCCCTACCTGTACAATAGTCAGTCTTCCTTGATGAAATAAATAGTCATGAAGAGGTAGACAATCCCTAGTGCATGTCGAACGGCACAGTCTCTCCGCATCAAGTCACTGGCCAAGCAAAGGAACATCTCCGGTACCTGCAGGATCCCTATGAGACTAGATGTACCTACATAATGAAGAATGTAAATTTCCATTTATAGAGCGCTTCAACGGCGACCCGCTTTCCGTGCTGTATTTGCTTTGAAGGCCGTGAGATTCAGCAACGTCCGATAGGAAGTTGCCCAACAAGTGTTTCGACCTCCAAGGGTGCCAATGCATGTTCAAGTGGAGATATATGAGCCTTTGAGCAGCAACGTTGACGAAGAAGAGTAGACACAGGTAGACGTCAGAGTCAAAAGCGAGTGTGCCTCAACCTTGCTAAGGCCAGACAACGAAAAGAAGCCAACGAGTTTTTTTAACCATGAGTGCACCAAAAATCATAGAAAAGTAACAAAAATGTGATTTGTCGAGAAATACCCTGACAAAAAGTATAGATAACTATTGAACAGGTATCATTTTGATACCAAAGTTACTGTTCTGACCTGGGTAGGGAAAGCCCTATCTGTGAATTTTCATTCCACCG